GGAACGAATTCTCATCTTTTCTTCCAGAGGAATAAATTTCAGAACAAGACACTTAATGCAAGACTTAAGAAACTTGATGCCTCATTCTAAACCAGGTGCCTTTCTCTCATATACTTTAAAAATTTGTGTGTATGTATACACCCATTGCCATTCAGTTAGTTTTAAATCATAGCCACACTACAAGGCAGAATTTCCCTGTAAAATTTCCAAGGCTGTAATCTTGAGAAGGAGTGTAGGTGATGTTGTCGGAAAAGCATTTGACTGCTAGCCAGTGATCAATGGTTTGGAGTCCACCAGCTTCTCTATGGGAGAGAAAAATGAGGCAGTCTGATTCCATAATGATTTATAGCCTGTGAAACTTTAAGGAACTGACCTAGTAGATAAGGGGTTGTGCTGGTTACTTGTTTGAATCTGCCAGCGCCTTCTCAGGAGATGGCCAGTCCCTTCCCATATGATTTACAGCCTCTGAAAAGCCCGCTAGGGGGGGTCAGCTATCAACTGGTTCCACTTGACAGTAACAATGAATTTGACTTTTTTATAAGGTCTTTATGAACTGGAAGCAACTTGACAGCAGTTAGTAATCTTTGCAAGGCAGACTGCAGTATTTGTCCTCTGTAGAATTAATGGTTAGTTCAAACTGTCAACTTTATAGTTCTCAGTAATGTGCTTACCTCCTGTGCCACTGGAGTTCCATACGTCTAAATGAGCCCTGGTGGCATAGTATATGTCATGTCTAAAGGTCAGCAGTTCTAATCCACTTGGCATCCACAGGGGAAGGGTGAGCATTTTCCTTTGGTAAAGATTTACAGCCTTGGAAAACAGATGGAAGGACTATCTCTAAGTCAAAATTGACTCAGAAAAAAGATGAGCAATATCCTCTTAATGGGATTTACAGCCTGGAAACCCACTGGAGGATCAGCTCTGAGTTGATTCCAATTTTAGGGCAATGAGCCTTTTATACATACACAAATACATACATATATACATATGCAAATTAAATTAACTATTTCCATGTAAAAAGATTTTATTTAATCAAACTTACCTGAGAAGTTTGTTATTTTGATTGCCAAAAGTTTCCAGTTAACATTTTGTTAGAAATTTTTGCTAACGTGCATTAATCATTTTCTTCACTTTCTTTTAGAAAAGAATAGTTGTTTTTTTTTTAAGAAAAAAAAGGTCCAGGAACACTTTTAAGTTCATTCTCTCAGAGGTCATGAGATGCATGGAAAAGGTCTACACTCCAAATTATCTAATACTGATCTAATTTTACATTCTGAATTTCTTTTTGTTTTTTTAACATCAAATGGAGCTGAGGTAGGTTTTAAAACACGTTTAAGTTTGGGTAATATTTCTTTTTTTTTATGTTGTTGTTCTTTTTAATTTTTTTAATTTTATTTTAATGAAAGTCTACAGAGATGGATTTCCATTACAGTTGGTGCATATTTTGCTCCCAACCCACCCCTCCCCCAGTTTGCTTTTCTCTTTAAAGAGAAAAAAAAATTATTTCGTTGTTATACATGGGTAATATTTCTTTAAGCAGTAGGTTATTCTGTAGACAAGTGAAGAAGGTTTCTTCTTTACCAGAGTTCTGTGCTGAGAAATGCTATGGGTTTTAATTCTAGGTAGAAACTTCATTCTTTAAACTAGCATTTCCCAAAAGAGAGTCTTTCATAATCTAAAACCAATTTTTAGTCAAGTGATGATTCAAAATATTTTTGTTGATCAAAACTTGGTTTAAGTATTGTCTTAATGTAGCTCAAACCCTTCAGTTAATGAGAATGTTTCTGTTTTTGAAAGAGTTTCATAGAATATTTAAGAAATACAGGTTTAGACCATAATTTATAATTGAGGACAGATTTCTTTAATGAATTTGTTTTTACACTTAACAGAAAAAAAAAATGCAATCTTTTAAAGAGATATCAAGTCTTTTCTTTAAAGAGAAAACCCTATTTTCTAGATGATGTTGTTGTGGTTATGAACTGTGGACTTGGGACTGACCCATAACTGACTCTTCAATGGGTTTTCAGAGGCAGTGAATCACAGAAGAGGAGCCTGTCCTTTTCCCCATACAGCAGCTGGTGGGCTTGAACCACTTGCCTTGGGGTTGGCAGAGCACCTTCTTACCACTAAGCCACCATGACTCCTCCTATTTTCTAGATAGGGCATGAGGTTTCATTAAATTAGCTTTAAAACCTCCTTTTGTCTATTAACCTTTTTTCTCTTTTTTTGTAGATACCAAAATGGATCGTAAAGACAAGTTATTTGTGATTAATGAGGTAATTTCAGAAAGTAAAGTAGAATATCTTAAGAATGAAATACTGTCAACATGAATGATGGTTCGTACAGAAACTAAGACAGTTGTTTAATCATTTTAGTGAGATATATTTGCACACAGGTGCAATTACAGCCTTTTCTGCATGTCCAATTCAGTGGTGTTAGTTATATCCACCAGTCAATACTGTTATTATGTCACTTTTTAGTCTTTTACAGTTTTGAGTTTTAACTTACAATGAAGTAGGAGAGACTTGGTCTCACATACTTTGGATATGGTGTTGTGGAAAGACCAGTCCCTAGAGAAAGACATCATGCTTGGTAAAGTAAAGAGACAGTGAAAAAGATGAAAACCCTTAATGAGACACAGTGACAGTGGACCCCAACAACTGTGAGGATGGTGCAGGGTGGGACAGTGTTTCATTCTAGTGTACCTAGGATTTTGATGAGTTGGAAGCAACCTGATGGTGCCCAAAAGCAATTTTTCTTTTTTTTCCACCTGTGGTAGGCAGAGCTTTTAGTTTACCTTCGCGTTTGCCTCAGTGATTTTGGAGGAAGTCTAATATCATTTAATTACTCTAGTGCTTAATTTTATTCTTCTTCATTTTTCTATATCTAGGTCTGTGAAATGAAGAACTGTAATAAATGTATCTATTTTGAGGCCAAGAAGAAACAAGATCTTTATATGTGGTAAGAGAATGTCATAATTAAGATTTAGGTGGAAATTGTTTAAGAGGATTTATTCTCTGACCTCATTTTATCGACTTCTTTGAATCTTACATAAAATGTAGGGGAAAGGAGAGATAAGGCAAACTTACTTGATTTATTAAAGCTTGAAACCTTCAAAGAATATGAACTACCTAAATACTATAAGCATGTGAGGATTCCTCGTGGCTTAGTGTGTAATGTATTGGGCTGCTAACCAAAAGGTCAGTGGTTTCAATCCTCCAGTTGCTCCATGGAAGAAAGTCTTCCTTCCTCCAATAAGATTTACAGCCTCAGAGGTGTAATGAAGGGTTATTACAAGTCATAGTTGACTCTAAGGCAGTGAGTTTGGTTTATAAGCATATGTCGTTCTTACCTTTGGATAGCTAAAAAAGTCACAGATTGACACTGTGACTTCCACTGTGAACTTGAGCATGACAGAGATTGTGAAAATGGTGCAGGAGAGGGTGGACAAGGTTCAGATCTGTTGTTTACAGGGTCACACTGGGTTGTAGTTGGCTCCACAGCACCGAACAGCTAGTAAGCAGCTAATACATTCTTCCCCCCCCCCCATAGTAAACTTCTTTAATTTCATTACAAATGATCAGATACATTTATGTGGTAAAGCAAAAAACCCAGAACCCACTGCCATTGAGTTAAATCTCGCTCACCATAGGCTACAGAACATAAAGAGCTGCCTCATAGGGTTTCCAAGGCTGTGAATCCTTATGGCCATAGGTCATGTCGGCTTTCCCCCAGAGAGTTTCTGGTGGATTCAAACTGCCAACCTGTTGGTTAGCAGCCAAGTGTTTTACTAGCTGTGCCAAGCTAATACATTCTTAATCCAATGTTGATAAAGCATCTTTTCTATTTTTTAGGCTTTCAAATTCACCTCATGGGCCATCTGCCAAATTCCTTGTTCAAAATAGTAAGTTGATTCAATGTTAAATTTTTTATGAGAAAATGTGAAGTTCTCTTTGTCATAAAAATGGTGTCAAAGTTGTGACTTTTGTTGTTATTTCCCCTCCTAGTTCACACCCTAGCGGAACTAAAGATGACTGGAAACTGTTTGAAAGGTTCTCGGCCCCTTTTGTCTTTTGATCCTGTAAGTTTCCTGTTCAATGTATAAGGTCTAATAATCTACTCTGTATGATTGCTTTTTCCCCCCTTGTGATTTAAGTGAAAACTTACAAAGAAAATGAGCTTTCTGTTCCATTATTCAAGCCATTTTGTCTGTGACAGTAATTGCAGTACTCAAGATGTAACTGCACTCTTCCCAGCTCCTCCCTGTGAGTCTCCTCATTAACCATCTCATTTCCATTAATCATCCTATCCTACCTCTTCTGCCTTCTGGGCTTTATCCTTTGGCAGTGATGCTCTCCTAACCTTACATAGTGGGCTGTTCTAAGAAGTAAGTGTCTTGCTGGTCTTACTTACCATATAAACCTGTCTGTTGTTTGGCTGAATGTTGAGCAACAGGAGTGGGTTTTGTTCCAGATTTGAAAGGTGACCTAGGGTCTTGGAGTTCCACCCATTTCTGCCAGGCTGTTTTTATGTGTTTTGAGTTTTGATCCCTGCTTTTCATCCACTCTCTCTGGGACCTTCTGCTATGATAACTTTATAGTGATCGGCTTTTGTACCCAGGTGCCGTCTAGTCCTTCTGGTTGTAGAAATCAAGGTTTTATGTAATCTGTTAGTCTTTCAGACTAATTATAACTATTTCTCTATAGATCTTACTTTACTTCCCTCTTTGTTCCAGGCAGGTTAGAGGCCAAGAGAGGAGGTGCATTTTGGACAGTGTACCTTCCATAGTTGCTCACAGGGAAGCCCCCACTCACCCCTCACAAAGTAGGATGTAGGGCCTTGTCTCTGTGGCTCTTGGGTCAGGTGACCTTCAGGCCGTAGTGTTAATTTTTAGGGAATATAATTGTGTATTTAAATTTGATTAAGATTAAATACACACAGTGTTTTTCAGGGAGGCACTGTGGCGTTGTCCAATGATATGATTGCTTTTGTTTTTTTGTTTTTACCTAGGCATTTGATGAATTGCCACATTATACTTTGTTAAAGGAACTGTTAATTCAGGTAAATATCTTGAAAAGCTTAACTTTGAGTGTCTTCCTTTGGACTCTATATTGTGGAACTAACATATACTTTTTTTTTCACTAGATCTTTTGTACACCCCGGTATCATCCCAAAAGTCAGCCATTTGTGGACCATGTGTTTACTTTCACCATTCTGGATAATAGGATATGGTTTCGG